TAAAGGTGACAAAAAGAAAAAGAAGAAGTCTGGGAGTGGCTCCAGTACCTCTTCAAATAGCCGTTCATCGACCCCTACGATTGCTACAGACGGCGCTGCTAATACCATTGCTGCCGCTGATACAAAGCTGAGTCAGGACAGACCAGAGACTCCCTGTAAGTATATACCCACCAACCGGGGGTGAGATACCTATTTTCCGGGTACCTAGATGAATTTGTATGGAGTGACGATATAAATGAAACCTATTTAGCAAAACCTTCGTCAGGTACTAGTTCTTTCACAGTATTTTACAAACTAGCATTTTGGATGTTGTTCCATTTGTTCCCGATCAGTTTCATGTTCCCAGTGTTAAAACAATTTTTTTGAATTGTCTTGGTTTTTGTAGCAAAATCAAAGAAGCGCCCAGCAAGTGCAAGTAAAAAAGGTACCCCAGGTGAAGAGGGAAGTCCAGCAAGCAAAAAAAACTCGTGTTTCCCCGGCACCTTCCGCGGAAGGGGCAGGAGGAGGCTCAAGAACAAGCACCCCAACACCGACAGGTAGTGAGGAAGGCCCTCAGGGAATCACTGAAGAAGCCGTGAGAAGGTACCTCACAAGAAAGCCCATGACCAGCAAGGACCTTTTGCAAAATTTAAAGAGCAAACGAACGGGCCTGTCAAATGATGAGACCGTGAAAAAGCTTGCTGCTATTGTTAGAAAGATACAACCCGAACAGAAGACTATCAAAGGGAAACTTTATCTATCGCTTAAACCACAGAGCTGAGATGTGCGCGCGAGAAGGTCTCTTGTTTTGTCGCATTCTCGCTTAAAGGTACAGGTTAACGGTTCAGCGCGTGCTTATAAACTAAATTACTTTTTTCCAATTTATTATTAATTCTATCTGTTAATAATCCCACTCACATGTATCTCAGCGATCTCAGAGTGTATTTCAAAGTAGAAGTGTATTTCAGAGTAACCTGAAGTGGGATGAGGAGTACTAAAATCGTAGAAAAATTAGTCGATTATGCCAACACTACCAACCTTGAATTTATTGTTGACCCGAAGGTTTTATTCCATGCTTGATTAATTTACAGCTAATTGCACCTAAGTTGGTCAAGTAGCTGCCAGGGGAATGTGCAGATTGGTTCTTTGACATTATCATGACATGGTAATATTGCTTTCATAGGCGATATAGCATGTCCTGGCAGAAAAACAGCATTTTGATTAACGAGCATGCGCTAACCTGTCCCTTTAATCTTCTCGTGCCCACCTGATTAAGTCGCTTTATTAATAGATCTTTTTACCTTGGGTTGTGTGTTAACCCATTCTTAGTTTAGTCAAAAAATATCAGCGTTAATTGCAAGTTATGCGTCATTACTACCAATAGAGCGCTTTCACTCACCTAGCCAGCATCTATGGAAAATTCATTGGAACAAAAGAAAGTGTTTACTTATGAAAAGAGCTCAACTCCCACAAGAATTGCTCGGAACACCAACATGGCCGCCATTTTATTGTTTAGGAACACCAATATGGTTTCCGTGACGTCATTTGAAACGTTCTATGACGCATGCGATTTCAAGCCTAAAATGCTTGTCGCATGCGCAGTGCGTTTATATTGAGCCAGTACTGTCAAACCCCGTTAATACGGACACTGAGGGGGTCATAGAGAGTGGCCCTTTTAACGGGGTGTCCATATTAAGCGGGTTGAACTTTTTTCCTTAATAACGAGCTGTCCGTTAAGTGGGACCATTATTTTCGCCAACCCCCCCCCCCCCCTTCCTCATCAAAAAAATAATGGTCTGTCCCTTAGACTATTCACAGTTCCCTTTTCTCCCGTAAGATTGTCAAGATCGAGCACTTACCGTTACGGGCGGCCATACATACATACATACATACTTTATTGTTACCTCCCCAAAGGGGCTTTTCAGGAACAATGATTATATTACATTATTTATAATAACTGATTACAACACTTAATCTAATTCTAATTACAATGTTAGCTAATTGCTTCTTTTTAAATGTACCGAGGGGGTGGGAGCCAAGTTTAACCGTCTCCCACTCCCTAAGTGTATTTGATACTAATCCCCAGGCTAGTCTCGGTAAATAGGCGACTGTGAACAGTTCTTGAACCATTCCGCATTCCGTTGTTCCATTCCAATGAAACGAGTTTGGGATTGAATTTCATACAAATCACTGTATTTTGTCAATAGACCTCTTAGACTGCAAAACAGTCGTACTTTTCTCAAAATCGGTTTTGCGAGGTGCGAAGCGCTGGCCTGGTGGATATTTTCACGCGAAGCACGTGAGCTCCACACAGGGCGTAAGAAGCTGGCTCCACACGCCCATGGGGCGTGTGTCTCTCTCCAGTCTCACTGTCCGTTTTCACCCTCACTCCAGACCTCTCTTTGCCTGCTCGCGCGCGCATTCGCCTGCCTCCACGTGTACATGTATGCATAATTTATGAAAAGACAAAAAAAACATACAAGCTAAATAGGTCAAGTTAAGGGACAAGTTGGTGACTTCCTTCATTGGAATGGGGGTTAGAGATCTGTCTTAAAGTCGTGCCACAGGCCTACCATCCGAAAGGTTAGAGGCATCGTGATGTCACGCGCGCTGTTTGATCCCATACCGGTCATGTTGCGCGGGTATCTTGTCAACACACCTCATGCTTAGTAGATTTCTGTTAGTCTTCAAGATGTTAGTACTCGATATAATTAGATAAACTGCCTCGTTCCTAAGCGTCCCGTCTAAAGTGTGTTTGGAGAACCGAAAACCCGACTGCAAGCGATAGTATCACGCAATGAACCATGGGAACGTTTAGTGTTGACGCAAAGGACGGTGGGAAGGGTAAGCGAAATAAATCAGTGTCTTGGTAGCCTGCCTACTCGTAAAATACTAAATAACAGCAAGACAAACCGTTGTGAATCAAAACCACGGAAATATGGCCATAAAATAAATCATTTATTGACCAAGCTTCTTCGGTCAAGATAGCTGGATATTGGCCTCGTTCTTTTCTCATTGGCCTCGACTCGTCTCTGTAAACAAAATGCTAGACTTGCTACAAGTCAGCCTCTCGTAAGTTCTTAAAAGTGAGCAAAGACGAACTTCAATACATGAGGTCGCGCAGCAAGCGACTAAGTCTCATGGCATAACCAACCAGGAAAAAATAAAGGACTTCTAGAAAGTCTAGCAAAATGCGAAAAAGGAATTTGGCCATATATCCAGTCATATTGACCTCACGCTTCATCAGTAATGCATGTTTGAAAGGAACAATGATGAAAGTAAAAATAGTCGTCATCCCTTGAAACATTCCGCTTTCGTTTTGACAGCCTGTTTCCCTTTTTCATTGAAGCAGAAGCTCAATGATACCTTATAAAGACTTGGTATCTTCGAAATTTGCTGCCTGAGTCAGGAGTTCCAAACGGTAAGAAAACTCAATAAGCAGCCGTGTTTCTACACGCGGTCAAAAAAACCCTTTAATTTGTACAAAAATGGCATGTTCAGTGACATGGTGGGAATTGACTGATGCGGAAAGCTTCTTTGTTGGTTATTCAAATTATGAAACTGTTCAAAAGAACGTCGAACGGAGACTTTCACAGCAAATGGTAAGGAATGATAGCCTTTTTGTGACCATTTTTGACCAAAAGCCATAAGCTTTATATTCTGATCGTTCGTTTACCATCGAAACTCTATAATCTTCATCGAGAGTCTATACCGATGAAGTATGACAGACTGTTTTGCATAGTTATGTCCTACAGGTATTCGGCCTTAGTTCAGTTACAGTATTTCTAGTGTAAAGTAAATCCTATTTAATTGGAAAGGAAAATATAAAGTACCCTGCAGAACAGGCTTCATCTTTTCATGTTTTTGAGGTTAGCGAAGATAAGCGCGAGGCGAGCGCGCAGTGCGAAAAAGGGCTTTCATCCGTCGCACGTGTCTCGCGCTCCCGGAAAAGTTATATACTCTGTTTGGGAACCCGTTACTTCGCGCAAGTAAAGTCAAACTATTTTTTATTTTTAAGCCTTTTTTTATCATCATTTAGTAGTATCTGACACTGAATCAGTTTTTAGGCGAAAATACGTTAATTTATAAACTCTTGTGATTCCACTGAAAACTATACCCGTTTTGAGACTTTTATGGGCAAAATCTATACCCGATGTATACCAATACCGTTTGTGGAACACACCTATATAGCTTACAAATAACAATTATTCACCGAAGTGGAGGTGGCTAGTGGTGGTATTTTCCGAGGCCAAGAAGCGGCGAGGTAAATAACCAACACTAGCCACCGACACTGAGGTGAATAATTGTTTTAGTATATACTTAAACAGTAAGATAATTGAGGACAAAAATGATGATTTTTAACTAATTTACTGTTGCCAACGATTACAATTTTGGCGAGCAATAACCGAACAGCTGCGGTCGTCGCTTTTTCTTGCCGGCAAATAAAACTTTTGAAGGCATTTGTTTAGCTCTTGCGGGGAAATTTCTTCAAAAGGAGTTGTGAATTCTTTTTGTATTTAAAATCATTCTGTAAAAAGATTGTTAAATTTAGTTTTATGCTTATTTATGAACAAGTCAACTGAATAAAGTAACGCAAGACTTAAGCTTAATTTGCATTTGTAAACAAAAACCTTTTTCACCGGTTTTATCGATAAATTCAAATCAAAAAGACAAAGCTTTACCTGTCAAAACTTCCAAACCGAACTTCGTCACCTTCTTCGTGTATTTCGGGAACAGCTTGCTTGATTAGTTGTGAAATTTCTTTGTTTGTTACGGCAGCAAACCGGGAAGGCATTTTGCTCGCAACTTCCGCGAGTTTGGCGTCGCTCGCTCGGAGGAACTGGAGGTGAATCAGTGAATAGTGCAGGATATTCATTAGTAGAGTAGCCAATCAGAGCGCGCGAAAAACAATATCCACTGTTTTAATATATACTAAAGGGTTTACCCCCGGGTATGTTTTCACTAATTGCAAAGATAATTTTCCCAAAGGTTCACAGTAATTCATGAGACGTACATCAAGTATGGCATCTTCACAAGAATACACCGATGAACAGCTAAACTATTACAGAATTTGTTATCTAACTACTGATCTACTAGCGGAAGGTCTGAGAGAAATATTTAAACAAGAATGGGACAAACTGTACAAATCAACAAAAGGAGAATGGAAAGACGAGCCTCGTAATGGAATTGACTTTTATAACGGAGAGTCTCCTCGAAGTCAAAAAAGAAACGCTCATCTTTTGGCCACTATGAAAAACGGAAACAGAGGAGAATGGGATTGTACAATGCTGTTTTACGCTATCCTTTTCTCTGATTGCGTCGGGCCACGTCTTAGCGCAATAGTCAGTAAAAATGTGGATGATCTAAGAAATTTCAGGAACAAAGAATTCGCTCACATGCCACAAGGGAGTCTCTCTGAGATAGATTTTCACAATGCTATAAGCAAAGTTGATGTTGCATTTCAAGCGCTTAGTCTTCCCACTGCAACTATTCGAGACCTCAAATATCAGAAAACGTTTCAAACAAAAGATTTAACAAAAGTCCTCACAGAAGTTGATAATCTGAGACAAGAAGTTCAAGAAAAAGAGAGTCAGCGCCAGGTACTTGAAAATCAGCTCCAAAACGAAGCACCCTCATTCTGTGTTCTCCCTCCTAAACCTTCGCATGAAATCAATGGTCGTGAAAGGGAAGTAGCCAAAATAGTCCAACAACTGAGAGAGCTAAATGAGTCCAGTGACAACAGGTTGAGTTATCTATACATCTCAGGGAATCCTGGAAGCGGAAAATCACAGCTAGGTAGCCTTGTAGCTGAGAGATTCTTTGACGACCTCAAAGAAATGCCAGGTGGGCCTTCATTTGTAATGACTTTAAATGCTGCAAGTCCAGATTCACTTCTGGAGTCGTATGCCTCATTTGCTCGCCATTTAAAATGCCCAGACTATTCAATTGTGGAAACCCTCAGCTCTAAGGACTCGACCATGGACGAAAAGATCACTAGTCTTAAGATGCTTGTCGCTGTAAAAATTACCTGTTACACTTCGTGGCTTCTGGTGCTTGACAATGTCACTAATATGTCATCTGTACATGTCCATTTACCACAGTTTGAAAACGAGGCTAGGGCAAGGGGCCAGTTGCTGATTACGACCCAGGGCACAACATCAATTCCCTCAGAAAGCTCTTTTGTTAATCACATCTCGATAAGCAAAGGTATGGAGCCCAAGGACGCCCGTTCATTGTTGTCCAGGCTTTCTGGTATCCTAGATAGCGAGCTGGTAGGAACATTAGCACAAAGACTGGACTATCAACCTCTTGCTTTAGCAGGCGCTGCCGTCTTTGTTAAAGCGATTCGGCAGGACAAAGCATCAACGCATTTTGGGTGGGAGGAATACATGAAGATCTTAGAAAAAGGAAAAAGACAGAAAACGGAAGATACACTTGTCGACACCAATCCAGTTTATCCAAATTCAATGACCAAAGCAATAACGTTAGCCGTAGAATCACTAATGAGATCCGACAAATTTCAAAAACACCTTTTCAGCTTTCTTGCCCTCTGCGCTCCACGGCCATTAGACGTCGACATAGCAGTTAGTTACATCATGAACGCACATGAAGAGTTTGATGAAGCGGACAAGGAACTAATTCGCATGAGATTAAAAAGTAGTTCACTTCTGCTGTTCCAAGATGACGAGGGTGGTTGTTTTATTCGACCTCATCAGGTTGTGCATGATGCTATAAAAACTGTAACAAAAGAGTGTCCAGAAAGCCAAAGCGATGAGGTCGTTAGTGGGGTCATTACATCATTCAACGAAATTATCGACGCAACTCCACCAGAGAATATGAGACTGAACACCAGACATATAGCTCCACATTTGAAAGCTTTAACTATGGTAACTGACAAAGTGTTTTTGCGAGATAATTTCCTTCAATTTCATGATAAGTACATTTCCAAAAGGTGTGAAAACCTTGGAAATATTTGTGAAATGCATTGTGAATTTGAAGGAGCAAAAACATATTTTGAATATTCACTCGCTTTTAAGCTTCAAGAGCTCGGCCCGGAACATGTTGATGTTGCAGGAAGCTACAATAACTTAGCTATAATTTACCACGAATTAGGTGACTTTGAGCAAGCCAAGGAGTATCAACAGCGTGCTATAGACATCCAACTGGACAAGCTCGGCTCGCAAAATGTTGATGTTGCAGGAAGCTATGGTAACTTGGCTTTGATTTACAAGAGATTAGGTGACTTCGAGCAAGCCAAGGAGTATCAGCAACGTGCTCTAGACATCCAATTGGACAAGCTTGGCTCGGAACATGTTGATGTTGCAGGAAGCTACAATAACTTAGCTATAATTTACCACGAATTAGGTGACTTTGAGCAAGCCAAGGAGTATCAGCAGCGTGCTCTAGACGTCCGACTGGACAAGCTCGGCTCGGAACATGTTGATGTTGCAGCAAGCTATGGTAACTTAGCTTTGATTTACCAGAGATTAGATGACTTTGAGCAAGCCAAGGAGTATCAGCAACGTGCTCTAGACATCCAACTGGACAAGCTCGGCTCGGAACATATTGATATTGCAGGAAGCTATAATAACTTAGCTTCAATTTACCAGATATTAGGTGACTTCAAGCAAGCAAAGGAGTATCAGCAGCGTGCTCTAGACATCCAACTGGACAAGCTCGGCCCGGAACATGTTAATGTTGCAACATGCTACAGTAACTTAGCTTTGATTTTCAGCAACGTGCTCTAGACATCGAACTGGACAAGCTCGGCCCCGAACATGTTAATGTTGCAACATGCTACAGTAACTTAGCTTTGATTTACCGGAAATTAGGTGACTTCGAGCAAGCCAAGGAGTATCAGCAACGTGTTCTAGACATCCAAAGGAACAAGCTCGGCCCGGAACATGTTAAGGTGGCAAGAAGTTATAATAACTTAGCTTTGATTTACAGGCGTTTAGGTGGCTTAGAGCGAGCCAAGGAGTATCAGCAACGTGCTCTAGACATCCAACTGGGCAAGCTCGGCCCGGAACATGTCGATGTTGCAGGAAGCTACAATAACTTAGCTATGATTTACAACGATTTAGGTGACTTTAAGCAAGCCAAGGAGTATCAGCAACGTGCTCTGGCCATCAAAGCAGACAAGCACGGCCTCACCAAAACACCAAATAAGGTAAGGACTGCTAACAGACGCAAACAACTATATCAGTTATGGAAATCATATTTGTTCTTACAAGATTTTACGCAGTCTTGACGTTTTATCGCTTTGGCCCTATGTCTTTGAAATTTGTTAAAATCTAAAAAGACTGAACTTTTCAGGTTTTTTTTCACAGCAGCATAAGTTGTGTCTCAAACTGCAAGGATCTTTGATGTATTCTTTCTTCGGCAGTTCCAATTTATGAAATTCGTATATTTTTTTTATTAATAATTTTAATTTGATAAACTCTAAAACGTTTTACATATGTTAATTAGGGAATCGATATTTGGGACGTTGGTAAAACACCTCTTAATTCAGGTTTGACTGTAACAGTTTCCGTTAGCGCTCTGTTCCTGCCTTCCGTATATTATATCTTCAAGTTTAAATTCTTCTAATGAAAAAAAACCTGTTAGTCCTTTCAGATTACTCATGAAACTGAAACTCATTTATCACAATCCAAGAAGGAGGATGATGATGATGAGGATGACGATAAAGGCAGTCGTAAGGAAGGTAAAGCAAAAATCATTGTTAAGTTAAAAACGTCTCCTCGTTCTAACTTGTAGTCAAGGGCGCGTTTCTTTAGAAAATATCCGACGACGTTTAATCATAGTCTTCGGACTTGACAAGACAAAGAAACGTGAGTAAAACCCGGAGATGGATTCTTCAGCGTACCAACAATACTTGTCAGGGGGTAGCCAGGATTTTTTTTAAGAGGTACGCACAATTCTCCAAATGCCTCTGCCTTCCCCTCCCCCCAAATGTCCCCAAATTTGACAATACTGTATGCTTAAGCGTTTTTACTGTATACTGTTGAAATGCGTAACGAAGTAATTTGTAAAATTCTTTGTTTCCTTTTTGGGTTTATTGACTGAAGGACGTCAATCGCTGTTCTTAAAAAAAGCAGATGCGTAAATCCCCCCCAAAAAACCGTCCCGGTTTGGCCAAGTCTCCAAATTCATCCTTTCCACATTCGATCACAAGTGTTTGCGGTAAAGCAAAAATGGAAGTGATAAGTTCATTAATATATAGGGTACGTTTCCTTTAAAATAACGATTTCGAGGGTATTAAGAGGCTGTCTCAGCCCACTCGATTTCGCGTAAAAAATAATTTTGCCTGAAACTCTAGCGAGTGAAAGGCTTTATCGGGACTATAACTAAAATGGGTTTGCTTTGATTCACAATAATTTTCTGCCCGCGCTGGGGAGCGCCGAGTATTTTGTCCCGTCACGGCCATTTTGCACGTCTTGAAAACTGAAATTTTGGCAATTTTTACGGCGCTGTAAAATGTTTAATTTGCACCATCTGCCAATCAATTTTATACCTATTTATAGGTAAAAATCTCTAGTTTTTCCTGAAGGTAATAGTTATTCGCTAAATTTAGCTGGAAAGACGAAATCAAGCAAAATGTAACCACAACTAATTGCCTTGGAGCGAAAAACCAAAAATGAACCTGTTTTAAAAGCTTATTTCTGACGTTTGGGACATAGTTGAAAGCTCTAGACTAAATAGACGCAAAGATAGACCATCTGTTATTAATAATATATACAAAACTCCATGTACGATTTCAGTATTTTAAAAGTTATGACCGTTTGTATCAACGCCTATGCGAGCTAATACGATATTTTCACATTTAGCGTAACGGATCTATCTCAAGCAGATTTTGTCAAAAGTACGGCTTACCTAATTCATTACTAGCACTGACCCACAAATTGAGCCATATTCCAATCCCTGAGATGCCGGACGCCATAAAATTCCAGTAAATGTGCTTTAGAAACTGCTGGTATGCGGCCATTTTTGAATCCCATGCTAACAATCCGAAGCTCAAAACAGGTGAAACTGTGTCACGTTTCCAGATAAATAGCTCGGTAAAACAACCGTTCAGAGGGGAAAGTTTGCTCGAGAATCAGAAAATCAACTAGGCAGGTCTCATTTTGGATCAGAAAATTGCGATTTCAGAGCTACAACCTCGAATAAACCTTCTATTCACGTAAACCGAAAATGTTCAAACCCGGAAATACGGAAAACCGGAAATGTGGAAATCCGGATCATCCTGAAATCGGCAAATCTGAAATCAATCAGAGACCGAAGGCAATTCCAACAATTAGAGACAGCTGCATTCGTTTACGGCTTCTATTCGACGTTGAGACACGTAAAAGATAAAGCCGGTGTAGCTGTTTGATTTTCGCTGAACTGAAACGCTGAACTGAAACCACGATCGATTGCGTTTGGCAAATAGGCTCTATAAGAAACAGTAAGTATCATTAACCGGTTACAAACATGCTATGTGCGCTAACATATCACACTTGTGACTAATAATTTCCAGAAGTTGGCTATATATCGAAACTGAATGTGTCGAGATCTAGAAAACCGAGCCAGCTCGTTTGTCTGGGCTTATTAGCATAGAGGGTCCTTGAAAATCACTTGTTAAGGGGGCATTCTGTTTTTTTTTTTTCGGGGAAAATGATGGTGATCTGGGAAAGAAATAAATAAGAGTAGGAAAGGTATGTACATAAAGCGGTTATTCCGCTAATGGGATCAGAGGCACTCCGTGTTTGAGTCTCTGGTATTATAATTCTTCTTGTGATTATTCACTTCACATTTTAATTTCTAACAACCTCCAAATCCAATATTTTCTATCTTTTCCAACATTTTTAACATCCTCCCTAATTTTTATACATTAAAAATATACATTAAAAATATACATTAAAAACAATAATGTTTTTATACATTAAAAACATTAAAAATAGTCAAAGGGACGGGAAAAGATTCAGGAAGAGGATCAGTAAAATTTGAAGAAAGCTTTCCTCCCATTCACTCAAGCCTTCCCCTTCCCCATCTAAGTAATGATCGGTTTCTTATAAACTTACTCACCGGCCGGGACTATTTATCCGCTCTTTACAAGCGACTTTCAAGGGCCTCTATACTAATAAGACCAGACAACCGAGCTGGCTCGGTTTCCTAGATCTCGACACATTCAGTTTCGATATATAGCCAACTTCTGGAAAGTATTAGTCACAAGTGTGATATGTTAGCGCACATAGCATGTTTGTAACCGGTTAATGATATTTACTGTTTCTTATGGAGCCTATTTGCCAAACGCAATCGATCGTGGAACTGCGTTTCAGTTCAGCGAAGATCAGACAGCTACACCGGTTTGGAAGGTTTTATCTTTTACGTGTCTCAACGTCAAAAAGAAGCCCTAAACGAATGCAGCTGTCTCTAATTGTTAGAATTGCCTTCGGCTTCCGATTGATTTCAGATTTGCCCATTTCAGGATGATCCGGATTTCCACATTTCCGGTTTTCCGTATTTCCGGGTTTGAACATTTCCGGTTTACGTGTCAACCCGCACTTGACCTTGCAGAGCCGGTTGAATAGAAGGTTTATTCGAGGTTGTAGCTCTGAAATCGCAATTTTCTGATCCAAAATGAGACCTGCCTAGTTGATTTTCTGATTCTCGAGCAAACTTTCCCCTCTGAACGGTTGTGTTACCGAGCTATTTATCTGGAAACGTGACACAGTTTCACCTGTTTTGAGCTTCGGATTTTTAGCTTGGGATTCAAAAATGGCCGCATACCAGCAGTTTCTAAAGCACATTTACTGGAATTTTATGGCGTCCGGCATCTCAGGGATTGGAATATGGCTCAATTTGTGGGTCAGTGCTAGTAATGAATTAGGTAAGCCGTACTTTTGACAAAATCTGCTTGAGATAGATCCGTTACGCTAAATGTGAAAATATCGTATTAGCTCGCATAGGCGTTGATACAAACGGTCATAACTATTAAAATACTGAAATCGTACATGGAGTTTTGTATATATTATTAATAACAGATGGTCTATCTTTGCGTCTATTTAGTCTAGAGCTTTCAACTATGTCCCAAACGTCAGAAATAAGCTTTTAAAACAGGTTCATTTTTGGTTTTTCGCTCCAAGGCAATTAGTTGTGGTTATATTTTGCTTGATTTCGTCTTTCCAGCTAAATTTAGCGAATAACTATTGCTTTCAGGAAAAGCTAAGTAAATAGGTATAAAATTGATTGGTAGATGGTGCAAATGAAACATTTCACAGCGCCGCAAAAAATGCCAAATTTTCAGTTTTCAAGACGTGCAAAATGGCCGTGGCGGGACAAAATACTCGGCGCCCCCCAGCGCGAGCAGAAAATTATTGTGAATCAAAGCAACCTATTTTAGTTATAGTCTCGATAAAGCCTTTCACTCGCCAAAGTTTCAGGCAAAATTATTTTTCACGCGAAATTGAGTGGGCGGTTTTTACTGAGACAGCCTCCAGGCTGATTTACCCGGGGGGGGCACTCCCATATGAAACAGACGGGGATGCTCGTCGTCTCGCTTACGGGTGTAAATTTTGGATTTTGGTCTCGCTTAGGGTGTTCCGGGCAAAGCGTTAATATTTTAAGCCACCAAGGTCTCATTTAGGGTTCCGCGAAGAACTTGAGATTTATGAAAATGCTTTTAAAAACTACTTTTAGATAAAAGCATTCGACGATTATGTCTTTATATCATTAAAATTCATTGCATGTCATATTTGTGTGTTTTAAGCGGTCTCTTTTAGGGGTCAAAATTTGCTTACGCCACGCCTAGATTGGTCTCCTTTAGGGGTGACAAAAAGTTTGAGCCACGCCCAGATGGTCTCCTTTAGGGGTTAAATTCAAAATTTCCGACGAGCATCCCCGTCTGTTTCATATGGGAGTCCCCCCCGGGCTGATTTAGCAACAGTACGGGAACGTCAGTTGACGACGGCGCGCGCAAATCAAACAACTGTCTTGACCAATGGCAGAGCGGCAAATTGAGCACCGGAAGTCGTGTTTAGTCCTTTCCGCGCGCTTTCCCGTCGTCAAATGACGTTGCCGTTCTGTTGCTAAATCAGCCTAATACTGTAACTTGCTCAAATTGGCAAATGTAGGTGAATTTTACTGGAGTTGAATCCTTGGGACCGCATCCACGCTTGAAATGAGAAGAAAAAATTTATCATCCTGTGTTGATTCAGGGCTACGCCCTCCAAACAATGTCGCATAAGAAAGTATCACGCCGTGGTCGTGCAGAGATGGCAAAATGTACCAAAAAACGGTGCGACAGATGTAAAAATTTGTTGTTTCACTTTTTAAACTTTTCGCTTTTTGACGTTGTTCTCGTTGCCATCGCCGTCGCCGTTGCTAAGGCCATCCAGTTTTAGCGAATGCATTTTGTATCCGAAATATTTATGAATCATCTAGTGTAAACGTAACGCCTACGCCAGTAATCTAGTCAGTGGTATCTCAGACTTAAATTAATTAATGCAAATGAACGATTCTTTTACCACTACTTGCCCCATTATTTTTGATCGACGAAGCACCCTACGTTGATGTAAAATCGCGCCCTACTTTGTCTAGTGCGAAGACAGGCCGAAGTGAAAACAACGCGTCTACGCTTTATACAACCCAATCCACAGGCGGCCCAGACGAGACGTAGTATGTGTCACTGAATGAATATATTAATATTCACATGGACAAATTAATGCGATGAGTCGTCGAAACTCCCACGGACTAAAATAGTCTAAAAGTCAAAGTAT